GCAAGCTGTGCAACCCAACAGGTTTGAGAACACAAGCAAAGCAGATATGGAGTAATGAAAAATAAAAGCTATTTAGAAGGGAGAAATGTGGTGGTAAATGAAAAAAAAAGGACACATGGGTTGTAGCCTTAAATGACTCGACAACGACTCGACAACTAGAAGGGAGAAATGTGGTGGTAAATGAAAAAAAAAAGAACACATGGGTTGTAGCCTTAAATGACTCGACAACAGCCATCAAATATAGAGAAAAGCATAAGGAATTCCACTCTAGAAGCACAAACCAAGGCGGATCCTGCACTGAGCACACAATGAAATTGTGTGAAAATGCGAGCCGTGCACAATATTGCATGAGACGAAAGAAAGTACCCCCCCGCATGCAAGCACTGTGATAATTAAGTGAAAGTGATCAGTCGGGCTGCTTGAGGGAGAACCCTGGGGGAGCACAACTTGTGCTCGCATGTGAGGTAAATTAAGTGAAGGAAAGCCTTGCCACTCACGGTTTTGAGCAAAAGGAATGCAAAAAATGGAAGTTTTTGTCGTCACGGTGGTTGGGATCACATGTATTATGATGTTTGTGATAAATTCTATTAGGCATTGCTTTTCCATTTTGTTTACTTGTGCTGATTTTTGTAATTTCTCTTCTAACCTGATACCTTGAGTGATAAATGTTCTCTCTCAACTATAATCTTTGCACACCGACGCTAACACATTATTTCTCCATATCAGTTGTCTCTGCTGGGGCTTTCGTTAGTGTGGGCTATTCTATGGGTTTGTTTGGTTTGACTTGCTTGACTGGAAATAAGGGTCCGAAAGGAAATGCAATGAAAATTGAGAAGTAATGAAATAAATAATAGTTTAAGGATTTAACATGACTTGTTGGAGTGTAACAAGAGAAAAGGAGTCTAGTGTTGACAGATTGCTTCCAGGAAGCTCATCCATTTCCTTTCATATTTCAACACATTTGGGTGCTGAAATTCATTTCTTTTATTCAGAATTCTTTTGAATTTGAAATTGCCATCAAATTCATTCCTCATAATTCGGTTATGTCCAAACAAATGAGGGAGATGGATTTCTTTTTCCATTTAATTCTTACGTTTTCCTTCAAATCAAGCACCCATGAGTTATTAGTGACTAGTTGGGGCAAGGGTGTCAAAAATTAGCCCAACACACTAACTTGTCTTGAACTTGACTCCAAAATCTGGGTTTGGGTTGACTTGAGTAATTTTTTATTTCGGGTTCAAGTTAGTAATCTTAACTCGTTTAATTTTATGAATCAGGTTCATGATGACCCCACCAACTCAAAATTGACCTGAATTGACCCAATAAACTGAAATTATCTTGAAATCAAACCCAAATAATTGCTATGCCTTTTATTAAACTAGCTATATGGGTCAAACTCAGGTTAATGAGTTGAAGACGGGTTGGGTTCAGTTTGGCCTGTCTAATTAGTTTACTATTTGGGTTTGGTTCAGATCATTTTTAAGTGAAAACCCAACTCGGCTTGCAAACCCAATTTGACACCCCTTGATGGGGGCAGAGCTTGTAGACAGCGGGACAAAACCTCTTTTATTGAGGCGACTGGTAATAAAACTTAGACAAAAAAATAGGACAAGCACAATACACATAAGTTTAAGCTATTTGTGGAGATCCAACTATGCCCACAACCATAAATGATTAAATATTTTACTAAACTTCAAACTAGGAGCACAAAAATGAGTTCTCTTTCTTTAAAGTTAAAGATGATGATAGAGATACTATTTTCTCAATATCAATAACTGTAAAGGAATACATCCACCAACTTGACATGAAGATGTTGTTGCCATTACTCTTTCATTCTATGATATATATAGAGCTTATTTTTGCTATGGCTGAAAGCTTCTCTATTTAATTGAGCCAAAACTTGCAGCACCCTCCTTTAAGAAACAAAAGATTTCCCTATAAGTACTAAAAAATCCCTCCCTTTGTTCTTTCATTTGGCAACCCCTCTCTTTTCATCCTTTTAGGGAAGATTTACATACATACCACTCCATCCTATGTTTTTACATACCTAGCACCTATACTTCAATTTTTACATACCTAGGACCTATACTTCAATTTTTACCTATGCATGAAAAGGTGTGTTTCACTTTAGCACCTATACTTCAATTTTTACCTTTGCATGAAAAGGTGTGTTTCACTTTTTTAAAGTTAAAAATTGTGATCTTTGTGTGATCCGAAAGATTTGGTTGATATAAATGTAAAAAAGCAAACTTTAGGTGTTAGATATGTGTATACATAAGAATTGGGTGGTATGCATGTAAAGGCCTCTCTTTTTTTTATTTGGTCGTGATTATGAAATTCACATCAACACAATGCAGTCATGTCCTCCTGTAATGTTTGGAGTTGGTAGGCAACACATTTATAGATACGAGACTAATGGACTTTGGTGTTAGGTAATATGCATAAAAACACATTAAACAAAGTTGTGTGGTAGGTTCAAATTTTGTAATCATGCTTGGTGGAAAAATTATCTCCACTTATCGTAAATCTCCCATTTGGAGATAGAATTTCTGATGTAAGACGATGTGGATGAGAAGGATGGTGAAGATGACATTTTGTAAAATTTCAAATGGAAACATGATAAATGAAGAATTGATTTGATAATTTGAGTTGAAAATTGCTTGAGACTTGGTGTACACACATTTTTGGTGAGCCTTTGGCCCAAGCTCATGGGCACCGTTTTCTAGCAAGTTAGTCCCAACTTTTCATGGATTTATACTAGTTATGGTCACCAAATGCATCTGTTTTGTTTTCTCAACAATGTGAACCCTAGTTTAAATAAGAAAATTCGGTTTCCTTTTTCACAGGACTCTAGGGACCCTGGGAGCACGAGAGAAGTTTTTTTTTTTTTTTTTTGGAAGATTTACATAAATTTCACCTAATTCTTACTTATTAACACATCTAACACCTTAACTTCAACTTTTAAATAAATGCACCTTACCTTTGCATGAAAATGTGCTTTTCACTTTTAAAAGTTAAAATTGGTGGTATTTTTTATTTGATATGAAAGATTTGGGTGGTATAAATGTAAAAATTAAGGTTTAGGTGTTATATGTAAATACATAGGAATTTGGTGGTATGTATGTAATGCCCCTTTTTTGTGTGTATGTGCGTGTGCTTGTGGTTGGGATGTGCTAGGAGTTGCTTGAGGTTGTGGTTACGTCGTATGGTCATATTCTTGAGTTGACTAGTAAAAATGGATGTGCATATGATCATATTTAATTTTATATGATTATATGATGAGAGAAAATATTATACATCGTACTCTTTAGAATTGAATGCTCTAAACTAGTATCAATGCATAGATACTAATTGATGTTAAATAGTACTACGTTAGATTTTTTTTCTTATGCAACAATTTATTTACAATATTGATCTTGTTCTAGAGATATTTAAAAAATTTTAAGTTTTTTTTTTGTTTGAAGTTTGAATAAAATTAGTTGCTAATAAGTCTGAACTTTCAGTTTCTAAACTTGGGTAGTTTTATCAAATACAATCAATTGATGATAACATTTTATATGAAGTCATGTGTCAAAATGATTTCTCAAGTGTCCAAGTACAATTGGTAGTGCCAAGTGAAAAATAAAATGAAATATTACAGAGAAATTTGACTAAAATATTTTACTATTGATTTCCTGACCTGAAATATCATCTTCTCTATCCAAAGGACCAAATTTGGTATAATAGATATGCAAAAGGGTAGCTCGTAAATTGAGCTTGTTCAGTGTAATAAAACAAATTTATCTTAGAAGTTGGTTTACTGCATCCAGCCTAACAAACTTACCCAATCTCTCCACCTTTTCTTTTAAGTGCCAGCGCGTTACTGATGAATACATGATCCTGTTGATGTAGTCATGATAAAAATAAATCTCTTGAGAGCACTTTTTTGTAGATTTTTATTATTTAACTTCGAATGATACCTTATGAACATAAATGTTTCTAGATTTCTTCAATTTTATACTCTTTATAAGAAAGACAAATTTTTTGTAGAAGGCCTACTAGATTTAGGTTTTTGCTTGCTTTACATTTCAGAACACCATCACAACTTCATTTGGGGAACTACTTTCTTCCTGTTTTTTGGAAATTTTTGTGATGAGAAGCTGTTTTTCCTAATCTTACCTTTTAAAGTGCGGTGGTTGTAAGAAATATGTTGTTTAAATTATATATATATATATATAATTCCCACCGTAGTTTTCTAAAAAATTGTTCTCTATACCAAAGTTTTATAAGCATCTTTTCAAAAAGCTGCAACTACCCCAAACAGACCCGTAGTCAAGCGAGCGTTTTGATATGATTGCATAGATTTTGCCATGCTTGTGTTACGATACATTGATTTGGTTTCAATTTAGGGCCGTTTGGCCGTTTGGATCACTATTTTTTTCTGTTATGGGATTTATTTTGTTTTGCTTATGCTTTGACTTGAAATAAAATATATTGGGCATTAATTTGTTTTAATTAAGTTTAAAAATAAGCTGATTTATTGTTAAATTAAATTATAAAATTGTATAAAATATATCAAACAGTTTAAAAATAAAAGCGAAAAAAAAAAGAAAATTGATCCCAATTGGCCCCTTAGTTTTTCTTGTCCTAGAAATGCTTTATTGGAGATATACCTAATATTATTAACTTTCTGTGCGTCGACTTTATTTATAAAGTATCAAAATAGTCTCCTAACTATTTGCGTGGGGTTATTTTAGTCCCAGAGTTTATAAAAGTGTCAATATAATTACATGAACTAAATTAGCACTTTTATAGAGTAGTGCTAAAATGACCCTTATGGTCAGTGGATTATTTTGGTAACTTTTATAAGTTACCACTTCGCTTGAGAAGTCATTAACTAATTTTGAAATCACTTTATCTATTCCGAAATGTACTTAATTTCTGTAAATATTTTGATTTTCTGGCAGAGCCAGAATAAAAAGTCATCCATTTGTAGTTTTTAATTTCTCTTTTATTTTCAGCTGCTGAGAAAAGACGGAAAGCTGAGGAGGCACACCATACTGGTTCTGCGGCTAATGGGCCTGCTTTTCAAAACAATGGAGTACATGTAAGTTGCATCGTTCTTCTTCCTGCAACTTAACAAAAAGATTCATGCCTGGGCCTTTTGCCAAGTTATAACACATAAATTAAACAAATTTATATAAACTAAATTGAAACAAGAGCAAAGAATATTATCTTAGGTTGCAATCGTTCTTTTCCGATTCATAAAAAAATCTAAAATATTTACTCATTTGTTTATATGATTAATCTAGAACATAAAAATTAAAGCTGTCCAAATTATCAAAACGACTAAAATTAGTGATGAGGCTGAAACTGAATTGAGCATGGGATCCTTAGTGTTAAGAAACCAAAGCAAATTTAAAAATAAAAATAAAAGCAATATCAATGGCTTCTAAATATATGATTAATTTTCCTAAGTAATGAGTCCTAATTGAATTCTGTTAATAGTCCAAAGCAAAATTTTCAACCTTATTACCTATGGTTGTTACAGTCGGAAAAGGGCTATATGAAAAATTTTTTTGCTGAACCCTAATGTCCCTAAAATTACCTTCACTTAGTTTTCTTGCTATAGTTTTTTTATTTTTATTGCTATAGATTATTGCTATTGATTAGATAGCAAGTTCTTTTTTGATTTTTAGGATAATTACATGCATAGCACTCGAAAATTGATATTTACAAAACTAGCACCCACATGTTTTTTTTTTTTTTTTGAACTATTGATCTGATCCATTCGCATGCTCCACAATCAAACCATTAGGTATTTGATAAAAATGAATAAAATGGATGAAAGATGGTTCTAGTTTTGTAAATAGCACTTATGTCCTATTTAGTGTCCAAAGATAATTATTGGAATGACTTAGAAGACTTAATGCAAATGATACCTTTTGAAGAAAGAATTTTTTTTTGGAAGAGATTTGAATGGATATGTCGGTAGAGTGACAGAAGACTTTAGAAATACTCATGGTTGCTACGGTTCTGGAGTAACTAATGAAGAAGGTAGAGCTATTTTAGATTTTTCTTTAGCGTGTGGTTTTATTATTACTAATATTTTATTCATGAAAAGAGACGAGAATCTTACTTATAAGAGTGAATCTAATAAAACACAAATTGATTATTTTCTTATGAGAAGAAGAGATCGTCGAGATTGTAATGATTTTAAGTTCATTCCAAACGAGAATTTAAGCACCCAACATCGTTTATTAGTTTTAGATTTTAAAATGAAGAATTGTAAAATAAAGAATATTATGAAGAATATTATGACTTGTAGATGGGGGAACCTAAAAGACAAATAAAATTATTTTTATGAGTAAAATTTAAAATTTTAAAATTTTTTACTAAAAAAATCATATAATGCTTGCAAACAAATGTTATGTGAGATAAAGTAACAAACATTATTGAATAAGTAACAAAAGATGTGCTTGGGGAATCAAAAGAAAAAGTTTTTATAAATAAAAATAGTTGGCGATAGAATAATAATGTGCAAGAAAAGATAAAATATAAGAAGTTATGTTATAAAAATTGGTTTAAATATAAAAGCTTAGAGAACTTGGAAAAATATCAAACGGTCCGCAGGAAGTCTGAAAGAATAATTTGTGACGCTAAAAATTCTACTTTTAATGATCTTTATAATAAGGAGGGTGAAAAATAGGGTGAAAAATATATGCATAAACTAACCAAACAAAGAGAAAAGAAAAGTAAAGATTTCACTCAAGTATAGTGTATTAAAGATGAAAATCAAAAAGTATTTATGTAGGTGGGTGAGTTATTTTGATAAAATTTTTAATGAAGTTTCTGAAAATACGATCAACCTTAGTGATCTTAATATCGTGAATAATAATAAAATGTTTCATTTTTACCGTCGCATTAGTAAAAAAGAAGTTGAGGAGGCTTTAAGGAAAACCAAGGGTGGAAAGTCTGTAGGACCTGATGATATCCCAATTGAAGTGTGGAAATATTTGGGAGATTTGAGAGTTTCCTGGCTTACTAAATTCTTTAATATTATTTGAAAAACTAAAAAGATGTCTGAGGAGTGGAGGAAGAGTATTTTGGTCCCCATTTTTAAGAATAAAGGGGATGCACATTAAAGTTATGGGAGAGGGTAAGTGCATATAGGTTAAGGCGCATTACAAAGATCTCTCATAATCAATTTGGATTTATGTCGGGCAAGTCAACTATGGAAGCTATACATTTATTGATAGGTTTGATGGAGAATTTCAAAGATAATAAGGAGATTCTACATTTGATTTTTATTGATTTAGAAAAAGCTTATTGATTTAGATTATTGATTTAGAAAAAGCTTACGATAAGGTTCCGAGAGATATCCTTTTGAGAGTTCTTGAGAAGAAAAGTGTTGATATGACTTATATTCAGATATGTATACTAATGTATACTAGAGTTGTTACTTGTGTTTGAAGTGAAGGAGGATTGACTAAATATTTTCCTATTTTTGTTGGATTACATCAGGGTTCGCCTTTAAGCCCATATCTTTTTGCTTTAGTTATGGATGGTTTTACCGGACATCTACAGGAGGATGTACCTTGGTGTATGTTTTTTGCTGATGATATCCTTTTCGTGGATAAAACGAGAGAAAAAGCACAAGAAAAACTTGAAATATGGAGGTCTACATGGGCCTTCATTTAAGTAGAACTAAAACCGAATACATGGAATGTAGTTTTAGTAGTAGTAGCTCTAGTGACAGAAGTGTGACTTTGGGTGATCAAATTATTAAAAGGTGTGAACGATTTAGATATCTTAGGTTCGTTGTTCAAAGTGATGGTGATATAGATGGGGATGTTAATAGTAGAATTCAAGTTGGTTGGTTGAAGTGGAGGAATGCTTTGGGCCTTTTGTGTGATATAAAAGTACCGCTTAGACTGAAAGAAAAATTTTATAAGACGGTGGTGAGACCTGCAATGCTCTATGGCGCCTCAAATTCAAATCTGAACCAACTAGATTTTTATTTATCCTCTAGATTTTTGCTCAAACCTATATTTGGCTTTATATTGCTTATTAGACATGTCAAATGTTGCATTCTCAAATTTGCACTAATTTATTTTATAACTTCTAATAATACTTCTATTTCTAATGTTTATGAAAGTAACAAGAATCTGCAGGTTAGATTTGAATTAGCCCTCAAGTAAGGTATGTGGTTCATCGTTCATCTTTCAATTTTAATTCCAAAATCATTTACTGATTTTAAGGCTAAAATGCCCTAATTTATAATGAGATTTTTATTCCAAAAAACAAATCCACCAACAAAGCCAAATGAATTATCAGGCAAGAAGTTTGAATAGTTGAATAGAAATCTAGATTACAAATATGACAATGATAATTTTTTAAATAATTTAACTAAGGTTATTTGTAAATTTTTAAATTTGAGATTAGGATTAATTATGCTGTAATTATCTGGGTTTAGGGAGAAAACAAACTACTCGAATAGACAATCAATATTATATCTTTTTTTATTTTAGTTAGTATTAGTAAAACCAACCCTCAAGGAGTTTTTCACCTCACTAGAAATTCAGTTTGCCGTCTAATATATTTAAACGAGCCCTTTGACTCCTTTATTTATTATTTTTTTCCCCGCGAGATATCTCTAGAGCCTAGCATTTCTTATTAGGAAGATTTATACACATGCGACTAAATTCCTATGTATTTACATATCTAACACCGAATCTTCAATTTTTACATAAATGTCAGCTTACTTATGCATAAAAAAGGTGTATCTCACTTTTTAAAAATTAAATTGGTGTTATTCTTAAAGGGTTGTGAAAGATTTGGGTGGTATAAATGTAAAAGAATAGAATTTAAGTGTGCATTAGGAATCGAGTGTGGTGTATGTAAATGCCCCTCAAGATTAGTAAGTATAATATGATAATTTATGTCATGGAATCGAGTGTGGTGTATGTAAATGCCCCTCAAGAGAATTTCTGTCAACTAACTATTTTTACTAATAAATTTGATGGATTTAAAAGAGGAAAGCAATAATGACACACCCACATTCACTTTGTTTTTCCTTTCCAGACATCACAGCCAACTCGCCATGGAAAGAGCAGCAGCAGCAGCAGCTCTCAGGAAACCGTTCCTCCCAACAACATCCTGTTCATCCAAAACCTTCCTCATGAGACCACAAGCATGATGCTCCAAATCCTGTTCCAGCAATATCCGGGCTTCAGAGAAGTTCGAATCATCGAAGCGAAGCCGGGAATCGCATTCGTCGAGTTTGGGGACGACGTGCAGGCCTCCATCGCCATGCAGGCTCTCCAGGGTTTCAAAATCACCCCTCAAAATCCTATGGCTATCTCCTATGCAAAGAAATGATGGATGATGCAATTTTGTAATGTTCTTGTGTCTTTTGGGGATAAAAATCATATGCTAGATTTGAGACTTTTGAGTTGAAGAGTAAAGTGTTGAAGGTAGGCTTCTAAGTGCGTACATGCTCTCTTACATCATTTCACTTTACAAATTAAGAATATGATTATTTGACTTGTTATGAAATATTTGGGTGATATAAATGTGAAAAGCAAAATTGAGGTTTTAGATATGTAAATAAAAACCCTTTTTTCCATACATTCTTAAATAAATGGTGTCTACATAGTGATATAAAATTTCATATTTTAATAGCCTAATATTCTATTTTTCTTCTGAAATAATGAATAGAATCCGTTACATTTAAAGTGTTTGGTGTTTTTTAAGCTGTTAAAATGTAAATTTTAGGCTTGTATGATAAAATTATTATATTTAAAATTTTAGGTGATAAAAATTTAATTAGTTGCCCCTAAATAAATAGTATATATATTAATTCATTTAATTAAACCCTCTATATATAAATATATATATATATTTTGTGGGTACCTTGCAATTGCTCGGCACCCACCGCCAGTCGCCGGCCCCCAAGTGTCGCCCGATGCCTGCCACCGGCCCCCAAGTACTAACCACTTAACCACCTTTAACCTTGAATATATATATATGATTTCCTCATTTAGAGCTTTGGAATAAAGGGTTTATAATTCGAGCTTAAAAAAATTATTCGTGCTCGACTCACTGAAAGAACGATTTGAACACGAGTTACTTAAGGAGCCAAACATGAACTGTTAGCGAACAATAAATTTTTTTGGCAACCCTACCTTTCATGCATATGTAAGGTGGTATGACATAACAAGTAAATACATAAGAACTGTGGTGTGTATCCTAAAAAAGAATGCCTGAATGAAAGAGAACAATTGGAAAAGCTCACCTGGACTAAATAATTCCTCAATAATATGAAAACTGCTTCCTGGTAACAGTAATGGAAGTCACTTCACAGGAAAGAATGCAAAATTAAAAATCAATGGATGGCTTGAAAAATGCAAGGCTTACAAACTATACAGCATCTATCATACAACTCATTTGAATAATCATATAGTTGAGGGGGGGGGGGGGGAGGACTGCAGGAGAGCAGTAGTATATATTGTTTTCTGTAGTGTGGGAGCTTACGTGAGTAATGCGTTGGCCAAATTGGAAAAATCTCTTGGCATTTCAGTACATTCCTTTAAATATAGGGTTTGTTCGGCAAATGCTTGCACCATGTTCCTCGTATTCTGCTTTTGTGTGGCATGCCTGCAAAAATAATAAATAAATAAATGTAAGGGAAATTTACATACATAGCACATAATACTTATGTATTTACACATGTTGCACTAAACTTTCATATTTACATACATGGTACTTTGGTGCTTTAGACCTATGCACTTTTTAAAAAAATGATAATAGTAATATGTTTTACGTGATATTAAAGATTTGAGTGTGTTGTGTGTAAATATGAAAGTTTAGGTGTTAGATCTGTAAACACATAGGAATTGTGTGCCATGTAAATGATCCTAAATAAATATTCCAAATCAGATATACATGACACTACAAAATAAAGTAAAATGAACGAGCTAAGCTAGCTCGAAGATTATATCCCAGATAATTCAGCTAAATAAGGGGTCGTCTGGGTCGCCTGCGCGATTTTAAAATGCGACTTTAGAACTGTTGTAGAGAAAATGACTTCTTCAAAAGCTGTTCTTATTATTATAAATATTATCTTATTAAAAAAAAAATCAGACAAGTTTTGTACAGCTGCATGCTTCCGCAGATGTAGTTATTATAAATAACTTCTTATCACAAAAATGACTTCTTGTGCCTGCCTCCTTAACCTTCTATTCTTCCAAATTCCCACACCCAAACTTCGCAATCCTTTCTCTCACCTACCCTCAATCTCAACTCATCTATTATTTCATACTGAGGACGCTGATAGACTGGGGAGTATGGCTGAATTCATGCATGTTAAATGTTGTGTAAACAATTAACCTATAGGGAAATTTACATACGTAAAACACAATTCTTATGTATTTACATATCTCATACCGAAACTTTTCACATATAATTACACAATAATTATATGTGAAAATAATTATTGTGGGCTAAAATTGATCCATAACTAAAACAAAAAGATATGGGCTAAAATTGATCCTCCATGTAATCCTAAAATAGGAAAATACTTGGTCAATTCTTCTTCTGTTCGAACACAGGTAATAGCTCTACTATACATATCTTTAAGAACTTAAATATAAATCATATCAACACTTTTCTTCTCTATAACTCTCCAAAGGAGTTCTCTTGGAACCTTATCGTATGCTTTTTCTAAATCAATAAAAATCATATGTAGATCATCCTTATTCTCTTTGTTCTTCTCCATCAAACCTCTCAATAAATGTATAGCATTCATAGTAGACCTGCCCGACATATATCCAAACTAATTATGAAAAATCTCTGTATAATATCTTAACCCATGTTCAATTACCCCCTCTTATAATTTTAAAGTATGAAGATAATGATGGGGAGAACTAAAGGAGAATACAGAAGAACGTTGACTAGCATAACAAATATTACCTTACTTTTAGGAGAAAGAATGTCTGAAAAATAAATTAAGGTAAAATGCAGTATGAAGCTATAATGGCTTTCTTGTCAAAAAGACTCTAGGACGAATTTGATGATCATTTCCTTGGGTGTGTTCAGATGGATGAAGTGAAAAAAAAATGAAATGAAATTAGTGTGTCATATCTTCATTACCTATGTCTAGCATTGAAGTTCTTCGAGATATCAACCACATCTATTTCAATTTACGACAAATCCAAGCATCCAAACATAGTTTTAAGGTAATTAATGTTGAATTGAAGAATACTATGAAAATACAATGGAAAAAACAAAATACCCCATAAAATTCTGGTGTAGATGCCAGCACAGAACCACCAAACCAAACTGCAAATCTCTGTATAGGGTGACTGACCACATTAACTTCAATAGGATGAGACTGAAACCAGGAAATCAAAGTCAGTCTTGCATATATAAAAAACAAAGGGGCTGTTTAATAGACGGGTTTTAATAGAATTTATCACTGGATTTACTGCATCCAGCAAAATGACAAATTGCAGGAGTCCCATGGATTTACAAATTTCTGGATTTACTAAATCCAAGGGATAGGTGAATTTACGGATTTACTAAATCTTACTAGAGTTAAATCCTATTTGCAGACAAACAGACCCTAAAAGAAAACAATTCAATGACAAATTGCAGGAGTCCCATTGATATACAAATTTTTGGATTTAGTAAATCCAGTTTTGCCTTTGATTCAGTATAAATCTGGATTTACTAAATCCAAGTGATAGGTGAATTTACGGATTTACTAAATCTTACTAAAGTTAAATCCTATTTGCAGACAAACAGACCCTAAAAGAAAACCATTAAATTTATGAAGTATTAGTACCTTTACTTCTCCTCCAAGTCTTGCTTCAGATGCTGCAATACGGGCATCAACAATCTTCTTCAAGTCCCTCTGGAGCCTTCTATGAAAATCCTTAGACATGGTAGACCCCCCTGATAACACTATATTCTGAAATTGTAATGGCAAACCAATAGTGAGGATACTGAAAGATAAAAATATTTGGCAGCTTAAATTTTGATCATATACCTTATAGAGAGCCCGTCTTGTGTCAATAGGCGATGACTGTATACATTTGTCAATTACTTCTGGTAATGGAGTGGCAAATTCACTGCTGTATATCTCAGGATTGAAGAAAATCTGTACAAAGAAAAATTTAGAACATTGAGAGTGTGAAAAAAAATTTCATCATTTCTGATGAACTTTAAATGTAAATCTGAGAATTAACAAGCTTCCAGCATGAAACAGCTTATCAACTGTTGGGAGATAACTGATAACTGTAATTTGCATATAAATAATCAGATATGATAACTGTAAGGAGCATTTACATGCATACCACATAATTCCCATATACTTACATATCGAACACCAAAAAATTTATATTTACATGCATAAAACTCAAATCTGTAATATCATGTAAAAAAAACCACCATTACTATATTTTTGAAAGTCAAGTACACCTGTTCATCAATAAATTTATAACACCGATGTGTCATAAAAGCAAATATGAAAGTTGAGGTGTTAGATATGCAAATATATATATTGTGTGGTATGTAAGTGATTCCTCCTAACTCTAGTCTATTATTAACGAGTTATATTAACTAAGCATGTGAATGTGTAGAATACTAAAATGTTTAAACTTAAATGATGCAGGTTGGTCAAGAAAAAGAAAATTTGATGGAAGTTAATTTTCTGCTTCCTGGAAACACTCCAATCATAAGATCAATTATCCTCAAGCTACATAGATTTTGGAATTGATCAGCCTCATTTTTTTAGAATCTCATCGTTATCGTCATCACTATCTGTTACGTCGGCACTTAAGGGAAATTTAATCTTTTATTATTTACTATTACAGGGAATAAATAAGGCTTATTATACTTAGGTTAGGGTATGCATGAGATTGTAGTATTGAGTTTTAGGTTTAGGGTTTGGAAAAGATCGTCTACCTCTCAAATTGTATGTGTTGGGAGAGATCGCTTACCTCTCAAATTATAGGTGTTCAACTTTATGTAATTGAGTTATTTTTTTATTATTGAAGAAAAATATATTATTTGCCCTAATTTGAGGTGAAAATTCATCGTGGTTCGTATCACCATCATCATTGGTCTTGCCCCAATTATATAGGTCAGCGTTAAGAGTTCTTAATCTCTATTCATTTCTGCAGAGAGTTGAATGAGATGCTGAACTTAATCTAACATAATTCCACTTCACCTCTTCTACCAAATTTTCTTCCTAATGGGAAAACATCTATTTTGTCTTCATCCATGTCAGTACATCTTGTATCTTTTGCTGTACATGAGAAAATTACTGTTAATTACTTTCTTATCATCGCATTTGGTTACATACAATGTAATTGGCCTAGACATTATTTAACACATTTTACCTTCTAAGTCTCCCTAATATTACCTTTTATAGCATAGTGGTTTTGAGACATTCTCTATTTTATACACCTAAACTTATCTAAAAATTATACCTTATTCTTTGGTATATAGGATCCAAAATACTCAGTATTATCTTATAGAAAAATATTGAAAGTTCTTAAAATCACATCCACTGCTATTGCTTATCACATATTCTGACATTTTTTCTACTAATCCTAAGCCATATCTTCCAAGCAACTTTTACTATTTTAACAAGTGTCACAAATTAGAATGAAGGCATTTATGAAAAGCAAGCACCAATGTAGCTCACATATCCTTCGTAAGAAATTGCATAATAGATAGAAAAATAATCCTTCCTTATACCACTTCTAATAATAATCAATGATTCAAAAATCAAAATATACACCTTTGATAACTTCAATATACCTTTGCCACTTTTTTCCTGAATGCACACTAAATTAATTCTCATAACACTCCATTATACCACCACATGAGGACCAGTTCCTGGCTTTTTAAACTTTTGCATTAATCGCCTAAGCATTCATGTTCACAATAGATGTTTTTAACATAAAATCAAATTGATTTTCTAATGTTAACATATTTTTTTTCAATTTTATGTTACAAAACTTTTTCCCATAACCTCATTGCGTAGCGCATAAGTTTGATTTAAATAAAATTATCAAAATATTAGAATACTTCTTTGTCAAATAATAGTATCAAAATGTCATTTCTCTGATCATCTTTTATATAATCTTGGCCTTCAAAATTCTATTCAAAATATTAATTAATCAAAACATTACAATATCACCTACAACTATTCAAATTTTAATGGGTATCACATGTGAATCTATGACTATAGTTGATGCAGGAGCTAGGGCAGCACTGATTGCGGGAGCTGAAAGCACCCGATGCAGGCGCTTCATTTCAGCAGACAGAAGGCCCGCAAACCTTCGTGGAACCAACGGGCGAGTGGGGATCGCGAACCTGTGCGATCCAAATAATAGTTGAATTTCGAGTTTTCTACATTTTTCTTGGCTTCTCACTCTCTTCCTTTGTGTAGAAGCTTCCTCCGTCCGAGGAAAGCCTATAAATTGTTGTCTCCTAAAAGTGGAAGGGTAGTACAAGTAAAGTTGTCTTCTGATCTCCTGTGTGGAGTTTTTTTCCCCTTTGTGGGTTGTATCCGGGGAGGTGGTGGTGCTCCGGCTATATCCTCTCTGAGATGGTGATCGCATCCTCCATTCTTACCTTCCCCAAATTTTCTCCTCCCAACTCCTTAGTCATCAAACTCTCCCACTGTCACCTCGACAACCAGCCATTTCCCCTTTCTGCAGGTTATTACTATTGTTCCGCCTGCCTAACTCCTTTCAAGCTCCTCCCAACCACCCCACTACCGTTATCAACCACCTACAAAGCTTTCCTACTTGTTGTCCGTACAATTCCGCACATTCCCTTCACTACCACCCGCCACCCGTGGTTGTCGTCGTTCCTTAAATCATCCCCATTCCTCTAGTTGACCTCCACCACCCATTGGGATATATTTAGGAGTGTTTGTCGATGTCGTTTTTATGTTTTGTGTTCTTATTTCCATTCGAATCATGTTATAATCCTATTTTAATATTAATGAATGTTTGTTTTTGTGATTCCACTATTTTTCCTACTAGTTCAAGTACCATTTAGTATAAGAGCTAGTCCAACCCTAGTCTTATCCTAGGTTTTCCAAGCATCCGACCCTAACCAATTCACCTCCACCAATTTTTTTCTTTCCAATTTCCAACCCTAACCATGCCACTACGAAGAGGTACTCCGGACTCGGGCCCAGGAAGAGATTCAACGAAAAATCCTTCGTCCGCAACGAAGACTAGCAAAACCGGATGACGAAAACAGGAAGAGATTACCTTCGACCATTATCAAGAGAATCAAGGGGAAGACAGGGACAAGAAGAATACGTTCCACAGAGTTCTGCTACAACTTCGTTAACAACGCCACAATATGTTTCAGCATATGGTAAGCTTGAAAAATTAATTGAACAAAAGACCTAAAAATTTACTACAACTCACATCTGTTGTATCCATTACCCTTCCAGACATGAATCCGCTCCTAAGAATTAGAGACGGTGATAAGCGAACATACGAAAAAACCTTGAATCTATAATACTTCCTAGTTTATGATGCATATCTTCTTTGAAAGATTAGCCTGTGTTACATCGACCTCACCTAAGGGCAAATTGATCTTTTATTAGCCTATAGGCAATTTAGTTTTTATTATTAATTATTGCTTAGTATAAATAGAGCTAATATTTTTATGGTTAGGGAGAAGCATAAGATTGTGGTTGTGAATCTTAGGCTTAGGATGCCTCTCGAATTGTTGGAATTGGGAGAGATCACCTAACTCTCAAATTCTAGGTGCTTATCTTTATATACATGTGTTGTGTTGTTTGGTGTTTTTGAAAAAAAAGATATTTTTGTGCCATAATTTCTGCAGAAAATTAGCTTGGATCGTATCTAATTGGTATCAAAGCATTTGGCCGCTGTGACAACCTCATATCCGCGCTAAAATCATCGAGACGTTGGCTTGTGTTGTACCTAATTGCAGAGCCCTCCACAAAAGGGATCGCAATGTACAAGTACAACCAACTTTGCCAAACAGTCGCAATTAAAGCTTGCTAATAATCAAACAAAGCAATCGATGCTTGCAGCGGTCGCGATTTGACCTAACTGGGACACCAACGAATGGGATTTCAACATAGACGGGATCGCGGCGTACGGTGACCTCCAGCATGATCGGATTCCGCATCTGCACAATCAATCCCCGCATGACCAGAACCTACACTGATGTGTAGAAAGATTGGATGAATTTATTTATGTTTTGCACGTTTTTTTAATGAAATTGCACTTTAAAAAAATATTTTTTTATATTTTTCTTGCAGGTATAACAGATATTAGGAATGAAATGAAGTATAAGAAACATGGAGCGAAAAAGAGAAGATTTGGAGCAAAAAGTAATTGTGAAGGCTGGGGTCATGGAGTCTAGGCGCCAGCCAAACCTGAAACCAGAGAGGTTGGCACCAACCACTGGGCGCCATGGCCCCAGACCTAAAGGCCAGGGTCAAGGAACCAGATCAGTGTGGCACCTAGGCGCCAGACAAGCAGAAGACAACCCAAGAGGTTGGGTTGGCGCCAGGGTGCTAACCACTAGGCGCCAAGGTGCTAACCACTAGGCGCCAAGGTGCTAACCACTAGGCGCCATGGCTCCTGTCCTGAAGGTCAGGGCCATGGCGCCAGATTAGTGTGGCGCCTAGACGCCAGTAGCGAAATATGGACGATTTTCAGCAGTTCAAGCCACCTCTACGTGGAAGTTTGGGCAGTTTTCAGAGAAATTTTAAGGCATAATAAAGAGAAGAAGAGTCGAAGAGGAATTGAAAAAGAGGTGTGTGTTCTAGTGTTAGAGTTTTGGTGGGATTTTCCTCATGTGTCTGTAAGTGACCTGGGCTTGTTCTGAGCAAGTCCAGGGGTGTGAGTTGTGTTGTTTTGTAAGTGATGTCGTGTAAAGAGTTACAGGAGAAGAGTGAGGGTTTGGGTGGAGCATTCTCAAGGCAAATTGAGGGAGAGAGATAAGTATATTTGTGGTTTGGAATTCTAGTTTTCTGAAATACATTTGTACGTTGAATCTCTTTATTTCACACACCTCCATGACCGATCGTCTGCATGACTGGATCGCAAACAATAGAGACCTAAAACTCTAATTTTCAGTAATTATGGGCGACCTAAACCTGATCTTTCAGAAATTTTGCGTCGTTGCCTTTCATGACCACACCTCGTGATCAGGATTGTGGCATACAAGAACTCCATGTGAGTCAATGGAAGCATTCGTAAATGGAAATCATCTTGAGAGATGGCAGCAAAGAAGGTAGATGATATGAAGAATAAATTGGAAGAAAAGATAGATAAATTAAATCGGGGATGCAGGAAAGGTTTTCCATCATAGAAGCAAGGTTTTCCTCCAAGGAAAACTAATTCGAAGGCTTGGAGGAAATGATGAGAAGGCTTTTCGAGATGCAATCTAAGATCCCGCCGACGGTTTAGTTTGCGAACCCCAACTATGGGTTTACCGGAGATTCATTAACTAAATCAAAAAGAAAAAAATTGGACGAGAGGAACACGATGAAGAAAGCCTTCATCATCAAGAAACCTCCTCCCAAGACTCCGATGGGGGTGAATTAGTGATTTTTGATGAAGATGGTTGGGTTGAAACATGAAAAATGGGTTATGCAAGGGGTATGAAGGAGCACAAAGAAGAAAGGAGAGAAGTCGGGACGGGTTATGGCTAGTTTTATCCTCAATACATAGAGAGACAAAAGTTAGAGTGGAGATTCTAGGATTATGAAGATGCCGATCTTGGAGGGGAAAGAACACACAGGAGGTGTACCGAGTGGACCGATATTTTGCAGTGAATGAACTAAATGAGGAAGAGAAGCTTATGACAATAAGTTTATGTTTCGAGGGGAAAGCCCTAGCATGATTTCAATAGAGAGAGACTAGATAGTCAATTAGCTCATGGGAAGAATTTAAGAACTGCTTGTTGGAACACTTTCGAGAGACCAACATGAGTAATTCTTTGTATTGGTTTGGGAAATGACTATCATAGAGTATAGAGAGAGATTTGAACATACGTGTCGCACTCTAACTGTTGAGAGGAACTTCATGAAGGGTCTAAAGTCTAATTTTCTCATGGGAAGAATTTAAGAATTGTTTGTTGGAACATTTTCGAGAGACCAACATGAGTAATTCTTTGCATTGGTTTGGGAAAGGACTATCATAGAGTATAGAGAAAGATTTGAACATACGTGCCGCACTCTAACTGTTGAGAGGAACTTCATGAAGGGTCTAAAGTCTAACATACGTGCAACACTCTGACAGTTGAGACTGCGGGGAATGGGGGAGACGATGGAGCTAACCCAAATTGGTGGAGGAAAATAACCAAATTGGCAACACCAACAGAAGCAGCACCATGGGAGAATTACACAAGAGTACCTCGACGACTATGACACCGAAAACATATACGATATCATTTCAAGGGGGAGGCATCAAAGGGGAGGCATCGAAGGAGAAGGACTATCATATGCACTTAGTATAATTCATAAGAGTACACGAAAGAAACTTGTATCACCAGTTATTATATAGTATAGAGAAAAAGCAAAACTCAGAAAAACCTCATTCATGCGCAAATAATTCTAGCAGCCACTTCACAGTTCTTTGCTTTATGAAGTACTGACCACTAACAAATTTCTCAAACCAAACAAGCAAAACGTACTAAACGCACAGAAACAACTAAGGGGTATCTACAAACATGGCACAAAATTCTAATGTATTTACATATCTCACATCTAAGCTTTCATTTTTATACACAACACTCTAATCTTTAATATCACATAAAAATAACACTATTACCACTTTTTAAAAGTGAAATACACATTTTCATGCATAAATTTAAAAAGCACCGCTATGTATGTAAATATGAAAGTATAAGTATGAGATATGTAAATACAAAAGAATTGTTTGTTAGGCATGTATATTTCAAAAATTAAACATGAACCGCGTCTTTTATTTCCCAAATAAAAATGATAATGAACCACTTCTTTTAAAAGCACCTGCCAGTTTAAAAAAAAGAAAAAAAATCGGAGTAAAGAAAACCAACCTCAGGACCAAGAAAGCGCTCATATCCAATATCACAAGAGTATGGTGCTCCAGTCTTTGGCTTTATACCCGTCCATTGCTTGATATACTTGTTCGGTTCCTTGTCATACTTATTAAACTCCTGAATCACAAGAAATAAATTTATACATAAGTGCATATGATAGCGCAACAGGAACACAGTAAAATTAAGAAAAATCAAATTATCTCTGTTCTCAATACCATTTATTTCGCATACAAAAACAATCGTGAAAAGAACCAGACTTTCAGATTTTGTTCAAAAAAACAATCAAATAAATAGCAAAATGAATAAGTTAAAAGAGAATAGGAAAGTAAGGGGCGAATTATAAAAAACATTTTTTCAAGTCTTATGAATGTGGAATAATATTTTTAATACAACAAAATAATGTATGAACTAAGAAAAATATCTTACTAGATACTTTGGTTGGATACTTCCAGTTTCAAAAAAAAAAAAAATTACATTAAGGACGCGTATGCTAAATTCTTAGCACAAGATATCGCTAGTAAGCATTTAGCAGGAATATTTTATGTCCTGGATTACATGAAATTCTTGAAGCCTCATAAACTAAAATTATTTATTTAGAAGAGGATATCACGTTGCATGAGGTGCTCTATATATTTAATCATATCTCATAAATATCTCAGTCAAACACAATTTGTACAAGTTTGACAAGCCATTACAACTCACGGTTTCAACTTACAATAGCTTTAGAAATCAAGCCTAAATTTTTATGATGTTACGTCTTATTGAGTCCTAAGAAGAAATACTCTAAGAAATTTATTTTTTCAAATTGTTAATTGATCTAATGGTTAAATTTTAAGGTTTATGCCTCAACATGCCTTAAAGCGTATCCCTCGCCGCATGGAAAAAAAAAACTCCTCAATACCAATTGTGTGATTTGAATCCTTATTGGAAACCCATTTCTTGCTAGTCATTCTAGGATCATTATAATAAGATTCATGTCAGTAAAAATTCAGAAGATTATAAATCTCGATCTATTAAACTTATTTAACAAGAGTCTTAATACTTCTATTAAAGCTCAAAATAACAAATCAAAATAGGTTCTCCAATTGGCTCCTCTAGGAAATATAAACCATATCCCAATTAATTGAATTGAGTTAAAGCCAATAAACTCATCAAAACAACCCAATCCATCTAGGATTGTAAAATGTCAGGTTAGGTCTGAACAAACCTTAATTACACTAACAGGCCTTCCAAAAGATGTTAAAATCTAACCTTTAACGAACTTCATAATAATGTATAATGTCATCAAAATGTCAAAAAAACCTAAACATCAATGCCATCAAGCCCATCATTCAAGAACATGTCAATTTTCATGTCACCAAGCCATAAAAAAATTTAGAGAAAGCTCACATGCTTCAAAACATACATTGAGACACTATAAAGTAGCTGTATATTAATAAATATAGTCAGATTAATCCACGAGCAAACTTATAATTTAAGCCCCAGCTTTCAAATAATGCGGACCTTGATCCAAAATGTAAGCACCATTTTTCAAAATCAACCCAATCAGATCAATTTGTGGCTATCAAGACCCTCAAATTAGACCAGCTCAAAATCATTAAGTATGCTAATCCATAAATTGTCTTACCTTGGGTGAATCCAAACACTCATTGAATAGGAGTTAATAAATGTTACGGTAATTTGCATACATAGCACACAAGTCTTATGTATTTACATTTCTCACACAACTGAGCATTTAAGTCAAAGATCGCTAATTGCTCAAAAATTGATTTGAATTTTATCTTGAATCAAAATTAACGATTCAAGCTATGAGCCAAAACCATGATCCAATTTTTATCGAACCGATTTCGAGCCATACACGGATCGGCTCGAACTGACTTGAGATAGGCTCGAACTGGTTTAAGATCGGCTCGAAGTACATTTTCATTTATAAAAATTATGTGCACGCGCGCGCGTGTGTATATATATATAGTTTTAATTTTCAAGCTTGAACGGATCCAAATAACTCAATTTGAGCTTAGCACGTTCTGATTTGGAGCCAGATCGAGCTCAATAAAATTTCAAGCCGAGTTGGCTTGAAATCGATATAGCAAGCCACGAGCCAATTTCGATCCGCACTTAATCCCGTTCGAGCATATTTTGAGCCAACCTCAGCTTAGCTCGAAATGAGATCATTCACAATCCTAATTGCAGCCTAGAATTGGAGCATATATATATATATATATATATATATATATATATATA